TGAGAGAGAGAGAGAGAGAGAGAGAGAGAGAGAGAGAGAGAGAGAGAACGCATTGGTTTATCTACATAAATATATGTTTGGATGTCAACGTGTTCATTAATTAATTACTTCATGAGTTAGTGGATAAATGTTTTTTGATTTACTAGTTAATTAATAAGCAGGTGTCACCGTGTTTTTTTTTTGGCTGGGTCAACGAATACATGCTTACCTTCGATTTGATCACGGATGTAATACGGTGTTGGTTTGGATGCCGCCGAGCGTTGAGACTCAGTTTCATTATCTGAGATTTCCACGAGCTCTCTTTTTCTCTTCTGACGTCATCCTCTTCTTCTTTTTGGTTCATCATCCTCTTCTTCAACTTCCGTCATCGCATGAGCCGTCTTCGTCTTCTTCTTCCTCTTCTTCTTCCTCTTCTTCTTCCTCTTCTTCTTCGCCATAGCTGGGACCATCAAGCCATCGCCGTCGCCATCTCCATCGCCGTCGCCACCTCCATCTCCATCTCCATCGCCATCGCCATCGCCGAGTTCAAGACCTGAGAAGATGCGTCAAGAAGGTGAGACCTTTTCTGATGGGCCCGGAACTAATTATTAAACGTTTTGGGGATGACGAGTGCCCTTTTACGCTTTTACCCCTCCCTCGTCCTTTTGTTTTTGATTTGTGTCCATGTACCGGAATTACAATGCTGCTGTGATCATCTGGCCGCTTCCAACTGCCAGTGGGTGTGGGATAAAGCTATAAAAGTTAAAAGCACTGTCCTTGTTCTCGTCGTTCCTTTTCTCCCTTCGCCGGCCTTCGCCGGCAGTCTCAGTACTCCCGGTCGTGTGTGGTCTCTCTCTCACTACTCCCTGGTTTCCTCCCCCACTCTCCTTTTTTTTTTTTAAAAGGTAGAGTCGCAGCTTATATTATAAAAGTAATTGAATGAGGCCGGCACTCTCCTTTTCTTCGTCTTTGCGTTTCTCCCTTCTTCGGCCTTCTTCGGCCTTCTTCCCCCCTGGCCGGCCCTCTTCCCTCGGGCCGGCATCTTCCCCGGCATTCCCCGGTCTTCTTTCCCGGCCTTCCCCTGGCCTTCCCCCGGCTTTCCCCCGGCCTTCTTCCCCCGGGCCGGCCTCCTCATTCTTTTTCCGATCGTTTGGAGTGTTGTTGGGGCGCAATTGGATGACCTTGCGACAACGAGTAATTGACTAAGTGATGTCATGTGATGATATCGCAGCTGTTTTAGTCAGAATTAACTAACTAACTGATTAACTAATTAGTAATGAGTACTAAGACAGGACATGGTGGGTTCGGTTTTCAAATTGAATTGAATTGCAAATTGAAAATTACTTTGTAGGGCCCCCATTCCTATGGCGGAGGGGTCTCAATTAATGTCGCTCACAGCTCTTTGTCTTCTTCCTCTCTCTCTCTCTCTCTCTCTCTCTCTCTCTCTCTCTCTCTCTCTCTCTCT